AGCCCAGAGCCCACAGTCTGGCAAGTGCGAGGTTTTGGAGCGTCTGAAGCGTCCAGAATCCAGAAGCTGGCTGCTCCAACGGCCAGTATGGCCCACAGTCTGGCACAGAGCCCAGAGCCCACAGTCTAGCAAGTGCGAACTTTTGGCGCTTTTGCTTTCGGGCCCAGAAAAGTAAGGATTTGGAGAGCTCAGGTTCCACACCTTCGGTGGTCCCAGGCGCCGCCCCTGCCTTCGCCAGAGCAGGGGTCGGCGGATACTTGTCTACAGAGTGTTTTCTTGTACCAAGAAAACCGTTTTATCAGAGGAGAATCGGTCGTCTTATGTGAGTGGAAATCAGTTGTCCTCTTCATCCAGGCTATCCACTTTCCATAGTTTCGTGGACAGCTTCTCCAGCCTTTTTGTGCTGTGACCATGTGACACAACTGACTGTGCATGGCGTACATCAGGAACCTACGAACCCACAGCGGATGTATATGACCCCTCGGTTGTCTTTTGTTTTGAGTGAATGGCATAGACTTGCACATGGCATAGACGAGCTACAAAAGAACATGGCTTGGAGTGAGAGCCGAGAGCGGCCCGCTTTCAGAGTCCGTGGCCTCCCATGTGGTCCGATCTCGGTCGGTGCTCGGGCGTCGCGACGGTCGACTGACCCGACCGGTCGGGTGAGCCATCCCGACCCGCTCGAGGTGGGCCATGGAAATACCACTCTTCAGTGGCGAAGAACATCATTGAATCATTCAACATCTAATGGGTTCTTTCAGGCTGACTCATTCATGTTCCTGGTGTTACATCTCCGTGGCTGATGGAGTGGAGCTGTGTTCCACTCATGCGTCGCACCCTGGCCAGGCCACCAACGGCCCCGTTGGACGAGGCAATGTCTTGACGGGGTGGTTTCGATGGGGTTTCTGCTGAGATGCTGGAGAGATGCTGGAAAAAACTGTGCAGAGAGAGTCAGAGAGAGTTTCACATTGTGTTCTGTTGAGCAAGCATTGTTGGAAGAAGAGGTGGGCCAGCAGCATGCAGGGGCTTAAAGGTCTTCCAAGAAATCCAGCACGTGTTCTTCCAACGCAGATGGAACATGCAACAAGTAATAAACACTTGACATTAGGTGGAGGCCATCGCAAGTAGGTTGGAGGCCAAGTAGGTTGGAAGCCATCGCTTCTAGTAACAAGAAGCTACTATTAGCGAGTGATTTACATGTTCCATATTCTCCCTCCTCCAGGACCCAAGTACAGGTCACCAGCGCCCATCTGAGTCAAGCAGGATGGAGGTATAGACTGCTTTTTGCAACATTGGAAGAGTTTGACACGGTCTCAGGATTGAGGCAACATCTGTACTGAAACCTTATCATATGAAAAGGGTGCACATGAGGGGTGTCCTGTAGATGTTCCGATTTCACCAATCCGACACCAAAAGCACCAAGGTCACCCAACCGTTTACCATCTATGCACATGGCAACAGCTGCACCAGGTGGGCTCCAACGCGGCGGTGGACGGCGGGAGCTCTCGAGGACCGGAGACCGGGGATGCGTCGTGCCGCCCCCATGGCATGGACCTCTGAAAGAGTCTGAAAGCAACGAACCGTTGGTTTAAAGATTTTAGGGAACCTAATAGCGATGGCCTTCAAACCTAGTAGCGATGGCCTCCACCCTTTCAAAGCTTCAACCACTCACTCTATTGGTCTTCAACCGGACCTGAAACGAACCACAAAAACCGTGGGTTTGATTGGCCAAGAGATGGCAGTTGCGGCGGGCCGTGTTTGGGTTTCCAACAGGTGGGTGGATCTCAGTGGATCTCCCCGCGAGTTAAGAGGTGATTGGAGGAGACTGGAAGGTTCGTTGGGTGACGAGCTGTTCGATCATAATAATATATCATGGGGCAAGGGCAAGATCTGTACAATTGGTTTTTCCGTGTGTAGTTGTTTTTGGGTGTGTCCCGTTGTTGTCCAGATTTAGGTTTGTTTTCTTTGGCCTGCAGTTGGGGTAAAGTAGGACGTTTTGTTTGCACTGAGTAGTTTGGCCATGTTCGCTGCTGTTCAGCAGCACATGTTATTGAAGGCTTTACCTGGCTTCGCTGTAGATCGCATGAAACACCCCAAGATTCTTTGGCAAAACAACTTACCTTCCAATGGTCATTTCGAGATGCAGTTTTACGGCGGTCAATTGTTTGGGGTCTATGGTGATGTCATACGTTAAAAACCAAATGCAATTAGGTTTCGCTGGGGTCCAGGATGATGGTAGCGGCTACCTAGCGTTGGCAGAATTAATTATCGTGATTCGGCTGTTGGCATGCTGATTGCTTATGTTGATGCCAAGTGGCTCACCGAATCCCGTTGAGCAGGGCGCAGGCTGAAGACTCATGGCCATGCTGTTCATTGCTATTCTTATTGGGGTTGCTACGGCGGCCCCTTGGGATGATGACTGCATTGAACCTGTGTCTGACGTAAATGTAAACTTTCTGCTCCAGGTGGAAAAGCAGAGAAAATTTGCGAGAGGAGCAGAAGGACATTTGACAGGTTGCGGGCGGTTGATCAACGAAACATGCGATCCAACTGCCAACAACATCATAATTGCAAAGTGCATACTCATGGGCAGGATTGCTATCGGCCAGTTCCAGAGGTGATGGCCGAACATCCCGGAATGGATGGTTATTGCTATTTCAATCAAACTGGCTTTTGGGTGACTCCGTTACCTGACAAAGGTCAGGATTTTATCGAATATGCCAAGAAGGGCATACTTGGTCTAAGAACGATGGGTGACTACGGCGGGAAGGATCAAGGTCCGCTGATCACTTTCAATTTTGAGGGCCAGGTAATCACAAGCTACATGGACTTACCGCATTATTCCTATGATGACCTCTACGGATACTCTTTGGGCTTCTTGCAAGGGCAGGGCCTAGATACAGAGCTGATGAAGAACGCCAGCGGCTGGATAGCCATTTCGAGGCAGAAGTGTTTGGAAATCCAGACCAAGTACAACATCCAAAATGAAACCCAGCCCTTGGTTTGGAAATTAATTTGTTCCTTTCAACTGTAGAAGGAGGTTTAGTATTCACACGTGCCATGCACCCACTCGTGCTAGACAGATGCTTCTCATTATTTTCCCTTTTCTGGTTGCATGTTTCTTTCGCCCAGGAAGAGTTGGTGCTGGCTGATTGGTTGGACGACAACATGGTCCTTTTGGCAAAGGTGATGTGCAGCGCAAACCTCACCGCTGTGCACATGCGTCCTGACATCAAAGAAAAAGCCAAATGGAGAAGCCTGACAGATTGCGAACCCATCACAGCCAGGGATTTTGCCAAGCACCATTACATCAAGTGCCTCCTTGGATACCCGAATTCGGCGTCAGATGGTGCATATCTCAACGCACACGCGTGTCTTCTAGGAAATCATATAGGGCACTTTACTGATTGCCCCTATTCACCAAATGTTCGCTTTTGAGTTTCAAGCAGCAGCAAAAGAGGCGCAGCGTTCTTCGTCTTCAGACTCCTCATGTGGTATTGGTTAACTGTGAGATTTTAGACTGGCCACGTGTACACAAGGATGGCATGCGCAGCAAGAACAGGGAAGTGTTTGCTGTCAGTTAAGCTAATTATATAGATCTATGATAGTATAGGGAATTAACATAGAATACCCTCTCCAACATACTATGGACGTGGAACATGGCCCCTTGGAAGACTGTTTTCCACCCAGGCCATGTCCGGGCTAGCACGGCGAAAGGCCAAGAGTGGTGAATCTGTCCCTTGCAATCAGGGTTTTGGGACGTACAGACCCTACTGAGAGCCTTGTTCTTGCAGCTGAAGGGTCAGCCTGGCTTTCGGCCATGTGAGGGAACACTGGTCTTTCGGGCCTCGGTCTTGATATGGACATGTCAGAAATAGTGACCCAACCCTGGCGGTCATTTCCCAAAAGGGTGCCATGACAGCTGAGTAACCTTTGGTTTCGCCATGTTTCGCCGTTTCGCTGGTGTGAGGCTCTTCCCGTGAGCGAGGCGGGGGAATCTCGGGTGGATGGATCGCCGGTAAGAAGCTGTGCCAAGAGTCACGAAGGAGTTGTTTTTTTAGTCTCTAATTGAGTGGATAATGGGGCACCCCTATCCTCCAAGTTCGGCACCCCTTTGCGACTCCTGTTCGTTGCACGTATTTGATTCCCAGGTGGGTGTGGTAGTGCTGGTGCTGGTGCTGCTGCTGCTGCGGCTGCTGCGGGGGAAAAGGAGCTACTCCGGGGTCTCCTGATGACAGGGTCGCACATCTGCACACCAAGGTGAAATTCTGAAAACACGGTGAAAAAGGGACAAGACATGACAAGACATGGATCATCATCAAAAGACCATCATGCTATGCCCATGCTATGCTTTGATGGGTCAGGCTGGGTTGCTGCTCATATTGTTTACTGTTGAACGCCCTCGAGACACCAGGCTTCGAACATCTACACAGCAACGCCATGGTGCCAGGCATGGTCCACTGGAGTCAGTAGATCGACGCATGTTGCGAGTGCAACAACAGTTTGAGTTGATGCTTCGGAGATTGGCAACGGCCTGGTTGACTTGCAACTTCAACATGAGCATCCATGAGCCTCATTTTGGACATCCCCTACAAGAAAGTCGCTGAACTTCAGGCAATAGAGGGGAATGATCACGCTGTGTTCTTGCCGGCCTCCTATGTCACCGCTCAGAAAATCTACAGGAGTGTTGTTGTGCTGTCATCCCAGCGACGGGAGTGCCTCGAAAAGGCCTATCATAGGCACCACTGGCAGAAAAGGCTGGTGAGCTTGGCTCCGCATTGTTCACCTCAACCAAGAAAGCGTTCATTGTGCAGTGCTTGAGTTTGGGAGGTCCCTTCATGAAGATGTGGTTAACTATTATGGAGGTCATCGTACAACACTTTGATCCGATTGCAGCTGCTGCTGTTTGATGTCCAGGACACCACTTGTCAGTGTAGGGTTGAGATGGATGGTTTATTATAGGGACACGATTAGAGCCAAACAGGCAAAGCAGGTGAGCATGAACCAGCAGAAGTATGACCTCCTAATTCAGGGGTGGGTTCAGCCCTTTTTCAAGAGGGGTTATGTGACAAGGGCTGGGATTTGAGTTTTGGGTGCAAGAGGACTAGAACACTATACAATACTATATAGTGTCATTGCGTGTATAAAACTTCCAAGGGGTCAACCTTTCACTAGAACCCACCGGACGGCTTCACGGAGAAAGCCCCTTCCCTTCCCTCGAGGCCTGGATGCAGATGCCAGCGAGGTCATGGATCCCCACTTGGTGCCTCGGGTCCGCGGACAAGATCGGGCGTCCGATGAGAACGCGTTCAGATGAGATGTTGCGTTCTCGCGAAACGCTGCGGACGTGGGGGATGGGGGAGGTGTTTCACCTCATGTGGGGGGCCTATGTCAACTTTGAACGAGTGATTTGCAATAGTTAAGTATACCAGCACCTTCCAACACGTGCCCAGAAACCAAGGTGCCCAGAAACCAAGAGGGGTCCAAAAAGCAGCTGGAGGGTCCGGGTCTATACTCATCCTATCTCATCCTCAAGGAGATACAATACTGGGCCTTTGCAAACACACTAAAGGTTCCTTTGGCACTTGCTGACACACACCACGTTTGGAATAGATGGGATAGCCCCATCTTTGAATTGGCTTCATATGCTGCTAGCTTTGGGGATCTGTGCCAGAAATCCAGAAGCTCTTCGACATCCGAGGCGGCAGTGATCGAGGCCAGCTACGCTGCTCAGACAGAGGCGTCGTTGGGGTTGGGGCTCAGACAGGTTGAAGTGACCATTCCTCGAGGGTCTCCGAACACCGAAAGTTCAGCGAACGCGAAGGCAGAATCCCGCCAGAAGATGCACTTTTGCTTTGGCAAAGCTTGGAAGCTATAACAGGCAGGATATGGGAAGGCGCATACTAAATCAACAAGACATACAACATCTGACAAGAATTTCACTGGAAGTGATGACGACTTGCCTTGTATAAAAACGTGACGAGAAGTTCCCAGTTCCTCATCTCACCACAGTTCGTTCGGCCCTTCACGCCAAGCCGGGTCGTGGGGATGGCATGCCCGGTGGGTGATGGGTGACTCGTCCAAAGCAATCCAACGGATAAGCTAAAGACTCGGCGAAGATGGCCATCAGCACGGTTTTTTTCACCTTAATGATAGAGGTATATAGAGGTACTGTACCGAGCAAGACACTCCATGGGACTGGAATCTTCTGAACCTCTGAAATCAAACACCCCTCGCATGATTGGTAAATATGCAAATCCCATGGAGCGTTTGGCGCATGGGGGATTGTGTTCAACCTGCAAACCTGACAAAATTTGTGAAAAGTTCCCTCAACAGCTGTTTCGAAAGACAGAATTGGATGCGAAAAGCCGTTTATATTGGGCCAACCGTCGAATACGGTATACATACGAGCTGCACCCCTGGGACAACTGTTGTCCATGCATAATCATGCATATCAAAATCTGTAATGTAAACTATCGGAAGATACAGGACTTGTTGTCCTGGACAACTTATGAAGCACAGCTTTTTGGCAGTATGAACGTAATGTGAAGGCAAGGTGAACGTAAGTTGAAGGAAACTTGGAGAGGGTTTATGGACAGGGCCATGCACGTTCACTCAGCAAAAAGGACATAAACTTCCGCTCTGGGACATGAAAATACTAAAACTAGCCGCCGGGCTCGTAAAAACAAAAAGGCGAACAATATCATCATATGTAAAAAACAGCTTCACTACACTACACGCGCGGTTTTAAACCCATTGACTTAAACTATATGATATAGTCAAGGTTCATGAGTGGGAAAGGGGAACTTGGTGCGACCCATTTTACAACTGCCAAATCCTAGGTTTTAGAAGATGAGTTGATTCTGTTGGGTTTGACCATCCTGAGCTCCTTTAGGCAGGCCTCGAGGGCAAGATTTTCCATGGCCCTCGTTCGATCGACTCGGCCAGACCGCGCGCGCGGAAGAAGAGGAAGAGATGCTGCGACAGGCGGAGACGAAGAGACCTGTCCACCCCAGGGCATGTGAGCCTTTCGGAGCAAGCCAGGTAGGTGAACACCACCAGACTCCGTGAAATGAGGTCCTGGACCTGTGACAAGATGGCATCCACCTCCATGGATCTCCCTTCCACACAAAGGGAGTACAGTAAATATACTATATGAATTACTATATGGTGTTTGTTCACCATCGCATGAAGGTGCTTGTTCGGTATACCCTTCCAGAGTGGACCAACAAATTGAGCGCTCAGAACCCGATGTTCACCAGATTCACCAGCTTGCAACCTCCTAGCAGGAGATCAAGAGATGACTTTGCAGTGCCAGGATGAGCCAGGAATATCATGACACTGCCCAGATGGGCTAATTCTTTGGATGCCCAACTTTGGTCCAGACCTGAGCAACTGGCAATGTGGGCAAAACCGGCTCATCACTTTCCCCAGCGCTTTCGCTTATACAGTAAAGAACGAGCAGGTGCTGACAGCTCGCACTCTTTCTCCTTTGTCCGGAATGTTTACGTTGGGAATCTTCCCCGAGTTCTTTTTGTTTGGGGATCCGGGGATGCGTCACTATATGAAACTGTGAACAGCCTCCACAGCCTTTGACCTCCGATTCGGTCTTTTTTGAGCCCTAAAGGTGTCTTTGGGGGATCAGGGACGTCTCAGGCAGTACACAGCCGTATACCGACTGTCCAGGTCATACGGACGGCCATGGAACCAGTAACGGTCGACCGTGTTTTCGCTGCGTCGAGCCTCCGGAGGTCCTTCTTTACCGTCCGGTGTTTTGGTTTGACGCACGTCGTCTCCAAACCTAGTAACCTAGTAGCGTCCTTGTTACGAACGTGGCTTCTTGCTCCTAGTAGAGATGCCCGTTGCTCCTAGTAGTTCCCACCTACAAACGCGATGGCCTCCAACCTAGTAGCGTCCTTGTTACGAACGTAGCTTATAGTAGCTTGCGTCCTTTTCTGTCATCACTGCGGGAAGGCCATGGAGATCTCGCGAAAGGAAGAGGAGTCCCTGGGCAGCACTCGGATCCCGAGATCCGGGTGGTGACCGACTGACGAACGGACCCACTCCGGACCCACTCCATGGGACTGGAATGTTCGGCAGCTCGGTTTGAATGATTTGTTCGCTGTCGGTTCGCCAACCTCAAAACCCATGGAGCACCTACCATGATGTAAGGGATATATGTAGCCATATAATATTTAGATACTGAAGATGTCTCATTGAAATCTGCAAAGACTGGGATATATCAGTTGTTCCTCATGCAAACTGTGTTGTTGTTTGTTGCACCAACCCCCCCAAACATATACTGTATAGACATATTATTTGCAAAACTTGATCAACTTGGCCTCAAATAAAGATGATCTTAATTGAGATACATTCTGTTGTACGACTGTACGACGACGCAATATTGGAAGAGCACTTACTGTGCGTTGAGAGTGTCGAGACCTCGAATTGCATGAACGTCCTTAACAAACCTCTTCACGTTCCCAACCCCAACTTCCTGTCGTTTCACACCAAACCTGCCTCACCCGCTCACCCCTCTGCGGCTCGGCCAAAAAACGCCACACTACTGCTAGCTCTCCTGCTTCAGGCGGCGTCAGAACCAAGCCCTTCGCGAGCAGCAAGAGCAGGAATTGCAGGAGAGCCTTCAGAGCCTTCGACGAATCCGAGCTAATTGGCGAGTCGAAGTCACGAAACGAGCTCGTTTCATCGAGGAGTCTTTGCACGGCGTATGGAATTGATTTTGTGTGGCCGAAATGCGGGGATCAATCGATGGTGAACCGGTTTTACATTGTGTATGAGAATTCAGGTGCATGGTAGCGGAAAAGGTCTTCTCAAAGTATGTTCAAAGCGTGGATCCAATCTGTTTGCTGGAAGTGACTTTACTCAGTTTGGAGATCATCAAACATGATGAAACACTCCTTGCAAACATGATCAACATCTTGATTCAGACATATTCAGACTCTCCACCCCAGGCAGATCCAGGCAGCCAGCCATCCATCCATGAATCATTTTCTTTCCAGTCGTGAGACAGCACTGTGTTGTGGACTCGTGGACACGTCGACGTCAGAGCAGATCGACTCCCAGCACTGAGGATACTGAGTACGTAACAGAAAGGGTGCAGTCTGGTCTCCACTTCTTGCAGTTTGGTGGGTTTCATGTCCGCCGTTTGCCACGATGTAGGAGAGTATCTTAATGGACCAGATGCGAGAGCAGGAGGAGAAGCGAAGGCCGCCCGTCGGCTGGTCGAACTGCATGGTGTCGTACGACACTGCTTCGCACAGAGACCCATCATCCCCGAAGGACCGCAGTCCCTGCATTCATTTGTGGATGGGCCTGGGTCGTTCAGCCTATAGAGCCCCTGGGTCGTTCGCATGCGAGTGGAACTCCCTCCGGCGTGGGCGCTTTGTCGTGCCCGGTGGGTCTCGGCCACCGGTGCTCCGGCTTCGGCCATGGTAGGCGTGTGGAAGAAGAGGAACAGCGCAGGGCAGTCGAGGTGCGAATCCGGCGTTGGCAGCAGGTTTCTGAGGAGAGGAGAGGACCATGCTGGAGTCATTTGATCTAAACACCACCTCCAATATATGCATGAAATAATCAGATGACTCTGAATATATTATATCTTGTGTGTGTTTTTGTAATTTGTGTTCTTATTATGATGTTCTTGATGCTCATTCATTTTTGGGCTATAGTGAGAGAGATGTGCACCTTCTAACCTCGTGCTACCCATAGCTTGGCACAGAGTGTGAACTTGATAAGTTTCAGGGCCAGGATCGAGCGGGATAGCAAGTTTTTGGGGCCAGTTTTGGGGCAACAACCCTGCTTGGGGCCAACAATCAATTGCGGTGTGCGAACAGAGATCCAGTATTTTTGTTTGAGGTAAGAGATCTTCAATGGGGACAATTCCACAACTCTGTTCAAGTTGGAACTGCTTGGTCTAAGCTTTCGACCGAAAAAGAAGAGCATGCACAAATCGTACAGCTGCAGCCTGCTGTTGGTAGTGCATCAATAGTGCATCAATGTATCAGAAAAAAAACAATCTATATCTCACAAATGCAAGGCGCCATGTTCCTACGAGGAAAAATACACTTTTCACTTTCCTCTTCTTTGATTGGTGTAGGGAAGCCAACGAAACAAGCCAGGAAGCCAATGAAACCATTGTCGCTGATGAAATCCCGGTGACAATTGCCATGAACATGCATCATCCCAGCATGTTCAAGACCCAAGCATCATCCTAGCTGCTTAGATCTGCTTTGCTTGTGAAGCTACATCTCTTCAAACATAATATATATCCCTTTCCTTGAGGACCAACCAGGGTCATTCCATTGCGTGTTCCGTTTTGCTCCAAACCAAACCGGAAAGGCCTCCCAGCAAGCGGAGCTCCAACGGCAAGAAGAGGAGGCCGCGGGTTCCGCTCGGCCATCCCGCGTCCATCCCGACGGAGCGAATGGCCACAAACGGACAACAACAACCAAGACCTCACAGGTGTTTTGCATTGACAACAGTACTATCATGATCTATCATATACCATATATACATACCAGGACCTTCCAACATTTGTTGCTAAGGACAGTACCTTCGCGATTGACCAATCTTGGATTGTCCGAGTAAATGCAAACCTGTGCTGAATGGTTTTCGGGATGGGATTGCCATGAATGGCCTTGTTGTGATAGCGGTCTATGTTCAAGGCTGTCCCACAGCTGCAACAATCATTTCATGGAAGGGTGTCGAACTATGAATTGTTCTTCATATTCTGAACATTTCTGAACTGGGTGATAATCAAGTTTAAGGTGTGGACTAGCCCCGTACATATCAACCCAGTTTTGGTTTGCATTCACCAACTCCGACAAGTCACATGACAAGAGGTCTTTGGAAGCCAAGAGAAAGGTTGATGCACACCGGAAGAGTCCAAAATGCTATGGGCCGTTTCAAGCGTTTGGGGCGTTTCGTTTCGGCGTTGAAGCCACCGGGATCCTCTCCCGACCTACACCCGATGTTTCTCGCAGTCCACATTGAGACCCTGAAAACTGATCATTGGACCGTTGTTTTCAGTGGAAGGGGTAGGGAAGAAAGAATTTAGTTGGTACTTGACAAGGGTGTCAGTTGTTTAAATATGGAGACCTTCCAGGGGGGACCCTGGAAGAGGGAATATCGACTATATAAAACATACTAACATTATCTAAAATTATAACCCATTGGTTGGGGGTCTCCCTATAAAAATACACACCCAATCGCGTAGAGTTTGTTGGACCATCAATCTATATTTACATATTTACACACCCACTTCTGGTGTTTGGAGTGCAAAGCTTGACCATTAAACGACCCAAGGACAACCTGGGAACCTCTCAATTTGGCAAGCCAGGGACCAGGAAAGCGTAGAATATGTATTGAGGCAAAATTGATCAAAATTGTTAGCTTTGTATCTCACCCAACAGACAAACCAGTTTGAATCTCTATGCGTATAATTGATAGGCACCCCAAGTGAGAAGATGTACAACTAAACGAGGATTTGGGATCATGTTGGCAAAAGGTTTGTTTGAGGAATATTCGAAGGATTTTAAGATATTTCAATTGTATCGGTTTGTTTGATCATTTCCACAACCATATGAATGAAGAAACGACTCATTTGTGATGTGATTGATGATCGTTTCTTCCCAGAGGCTCATGGACCCTCAAACTGCCGCATGTGTGAAGCTATGAGGGTCCGATGAGCCTCTGGGTTTTTGAACATTTCTTGAGAGAGAGATGTCCATGACACCACATATGTGCAGTCAGTCTACTACTGAGCTGAGTGTCGATGAAACTTTTCATCTCACAATTCGTCTGAAGATGTTTCAACAGATCCCCCCAAATCCCTCTTTAGGACCAACGAGTCTGAAAAAAGACCACATTAGATCCTTCTCTGACCAAGACGACGCACTGACCTAAGTGTTGGCGCCTCTCAGGAGCGCCAACGCTTAGAGATGCACTCCGCGAAGCTGGCGAACGTGCCACCCGAGCCGCCTGCTGACGCGCCCGCGGGCCAAGAGGGAAGGTAACATCCGGGTTGCCATGCTGCGCCTGTTGCGTGGTGTGTGTGTGTGTGTTCGTTCGATGCGATGAGTTGGTGAAGTTCCAATGAAACTGATAGTTTCCTATCGAGTATATATATATATAAACTACTTGATGGGTTTGTTTCGAGGCTTTTCAAGACAAGTGACAAGTGGTTTGTGATTTGTTGGAGTTTGTTGTTTTCAATGTTTTTCCTTGGAAAGACCAGCAGGTGGGTTATGGTCCTGGTAGGTGAAGAGTCTTGGTGTGGTCTTGAAAAAGGTCGGCAGCCAGGACCACGAATGGCATGAGATTGATCTCGAAGAACAATGCAATAGCGCACCGATAAACGCGTGTCTCTATAAACGCGGAACCGCGCCGATACACTGATACACACCGAACCGCACCTATACACCAAGGGTTTGGGATGGTTTAGGCTAGGCTTCAGGCTCCGGTTTAGGCTATGAACTGGCATTTTGTCGTAGTTGCGTGCTTCCCCTCACGTTCAGGGTCTATCGAAGGATTCTTGAGAATCCCACAGTACCACCGGTGCAAACTGGAGGGCGTGGACATCAAAGATGAGTTTCCTTATCTCTGACCAGCTTGCAAGTCTTGCGGCACATCGTGCACAGCTGTAGCAGTGCAGCGCATGCGCCCGGATGAGTTTCCTTAAAAAACTCTCCTTGGTTTTGGAAGGAGATTCACTTGAAACGTCGACGTGTCCTCGACATCCATCCAAGGCGTCCTTGACATCCATCCACTGTTACCATGGTCATTCATGGTCCTACCACTCGAAAGGCCACATGATGCTCTGGCAAGGTCGGATTGCGCTTCAAAAAGTCTGATTTCTGGTCACCATTGGGGTCCGGCAACTCCAAACCCTGAAGCAGGTTCGGATTTCTGGTTGTTCTCCTCCATGTTTGGAGGCCCAAGCCAGTGTTTCGCGACTCCCAATATCCGTGCTTCGCGAAGAAGACGACCCAGCTTCAATCTGAAATCCACTCAGAAAGCACTTAAACTTAAGCTTCTGGGCTGAAGAACGTTTTAAATCACAGAGACACTCTCAATGGCCCCTTCATCACCCTTCCACCTCCGTTCGCTGTCCCTGCGCCCATTTTTAACGCTCTCCCAAAGCCACTCCCCCGATCTTCCTCCCCAAGTATGCAAAAGCCTCTATAAAGCCTCTAGGAGCAAGGACGCTGGGGGCTCCTGGCATCGCTACTAGGAACAAGAACGCTACTAGGAGCAAAGGGCATCGCTACTAGGAGCAAGAACGCTACTAGTAGCTCCTGGCCTTAC